TTTTATTATTAGTGAAAGTAATTTAATTATTGTGAAAAATAAATTGCATAAAAATTTGTTAAATAATTTATTGATTTTTTCGACATTTTTTTGAAAATTAGCGAATTTAAAATAGTGGAAATTCTCTAAAAAAAATATAATTTATATTCTTTGTTCAGAAAGTTGAAGATTATTTTTAATTTAGGTATCAGATAACAATTTTTGAGAAATTCAATTTTTCTTATTGTACAAGAAAGTTTAATTATTTTCAATTTTGAAAATCTGATGTCAAATTTGAAATTAGTATCAAAATTTGTTAAAGTTTTTTTATGTACTTTAAAGTTTAAAAATATAATATAATTTGAAAATTTAATTCTAATTAGTTTTTCAGTTATGTGTCATAATAAGTATTTCTTTAAAAATTACTAAAATTAAAATGACTTGAAATTGTTTACAATAAACAGTGCAATACAACATTCCCGCGCGCTTATGCGCGGATAATTTGGCTAGTATTTACTATAATTTGAGGGAAATATAACAATTAATTTACTTTATATCGTATATAAGGAGACTATGTTGTGCTCTAGTAATAGACGAAAAGGTCATAAAACTTATATAAATAGATTTGCAACAAACCTTGTCGAGAGAGTATAAAGACACTCCATACATTATATGAAAAGAATGATAAGATAAAAAAGATAGTTCATTAACTTTGAAAGAAAAGTTTCATTGTAAAGGGTAATAAAAGTCAATTTCATGTGCCAATAACACTTTTCATATATATATTAACTTTTATGGCGAGAAATTCCATAATTTTTAACCCTGACATTTGTCACTTTTTACGAGAGTTGCATTTCTAATCTGAAACAAAAAAAATAATAAAATTAAAATTTTTATTCAGTATATTTCCTGAAAAATATGTGTTTATAATTTTATTTTAAACACAGTGATTAGAAAAGGACTAAAAATAAATAAAGAAAAATAAATGAAATATATTAAATAAAAATTGAATTATTTAATATAGTTCTCTATTTAATAGTTTTTCAAATGTACAAATTATATTTATTGAAAAATATTTATTTTCTAGTAGTAGAAATATAAAAAATTAATTAATTTGTTAATGAACATTTTTTTTGCCTCTATGAGAATGCAGAAAATAATACAAATTCAAAAATTTTTTTACCGAAACGAGAAAAAAGAAGCTTTAAGAGAAATGACACTTGTCTTACATAAGACGTAAAGTTATTATAAAAACAAATTGCAATTGAAATTATAATTATAAACTGACATATATAGGTTAGACTTTACTCATCATTATATGAAGATATAATTTTGAACATCACGAAGGTTTATAATCGTCAAACCTTCGAGTAATAAAAAAAAATACTTCACTATAAAGATGATTGTTCAAACATTAAAAAAATTTTTTTTTTCTTATTGTTTTTAAATGACAAGTCACTTTCTGAATATTTAATTACGAATGAAATATTTTCGTATCGTGCCAAATATCATGAATATAAAAACGAATTAAAAATAAATATCTAAAATAAACGAATTAAAATATCAATAAAATAAACGAAATAAACTAAAAATTAAATCGACGGAATAAATGAATAATTTATCAAATTAATTAATTTTAATTTGATTTAATTTTGAATTTTCGTTAATTTAATTATTTAATCTATATTAATAATCGTTGTATTAATTAATTAATAAATTTGTTAATTTAGTTTTTTTATTTCCTTTTGTTCTAATTAGATTTCTTTTTGTTCTAAATTAATTTCTTTTTCTTCTGATTTTATTTCTTTTCGTCTAAGAAAAAGTAAATTCCATTAATACAATTTTATTTCAAACCGATAGAAAACAGTTTTAAACAGTTCTGTATTATCGGTTCAATAAAATTATATTAATAGACCTTATCGAACAATGTATACGATATACATTTATTGGAATAGTAAAATTGATTTCATTTGTAATAAAATTGAATGGTTATTAATCGTGACGACAAATTTTAATTTATAAAAAAACTTAACTTCAAAGTGAAATTTTTAAGACTTTACAGATTGATAAATTCGTTTTTCTTTTTTTAATAGAATGAATAACTTAAATAATTCTCAAGGGTATGTATATGGATGTAAAATCCAACATTTGCACCAGTGAATTGATTGACAGTGGTTATAAGCTTTATTATAGTTGAATCAATAGCAAGGTTCATGACCGACGAAAAATGTTTTATAAAAATAATCATATTGAACAGCAAGTTAAATTTAAATACACTTTTAATTGTTTATTCACTCGAGAAAGAATCTGAATTTATTAATTAGATAATTAGTAAAGAGTATCTCTATGTCTTTTTAAATTTTGCAATATTCATTTCAATTCGTTATAATCAATCAGCTATGAACTAAATTAATAAATTTTAGCTAATTAGTAACTTGATTAATAATTAATTGAGGTTAAAATCGAGAAAATCGTTTAAATTCAATTTCAACGTTCAAGATTGAAATGTTTGACACTTAACAATTATTTATCCTCATGTTTACCTTTATTAACCCCTTAACAGTCCATGGCCCATATATGGCCACGAAAAGTCGTGCCACCTTCGCGTCTGTGGCCATATATGGCCATCTCAAAAAAAAAATACTAAACATGATTTGATTTTAGTAGCGAAGTACATACTACTGTTTTTGGGGTCGCTGAATCCGAATCTGAAGTCAGATTTAAAAAATTCAAAATGGCGGACTCAAAATGTCGACTTCAAAAAATAAAAAAATTTCAAATTCGCTTTAAACTCGTTACTTGGGGGGTTTTCGGGGTCTCTGATTACAAATATCAGGTCAGATTTTCAAAATTCAAAATGGCGGATCCAATATGGCGGATAATTTCAAGATTGATGCGATTGGATTAAAATTCGTTTCTCAGGGGTTTTTGGGGTCGCTGAATTTGAATTTGATGTTCGTTTTACAAAATTCAAAATGTTAGATCCAATATGGCGGATAGTTTCAAAATTTATGCGTTTCGATCGAAATTCGGTTCCCGGGGTTTTTTGGGGTCACTGTATTCGAATTTGATGTTCGTTTTTCTAAATGCTAAATTGTGGATTCAATATGTCGATCAAATTTTTTGAATGTTGACAAATTTGTCTAAAATGTTTACTCAGGGGTTTTTGAGGTAACTTCATATTTTTTTCGCATCAATCTTGAAATCATCCGCCATATTGGATCCGCCATTTTGAATTTTGAAAATATGACATCATATTTGTAATCAGAGACCCCGAAAACCCCCGAGTAACGAGTTTTAAGAACATCTGAAAAAAAATTTTTTTTTGAAATCGCCATTTTGGGTCCGCCATTTTGAATTTTTTAAATCTGACTTCAGATTTGGATTCAGCGACCTCGAAAACCCCCGAGAAATGAATTTCCCTTAAAACTCTTTAATTTTAAAATTATCCACCATATTTGGTCGCCATATTGGATCCGCCATTTTGAATTTTCAAAAACTAACCTCAAATTCGAATTCAGCGACCCCAAAAACCTTATATATGATGAAATCATATTTTTTTGTAAACTTTTTTTTCGGACCGTTTTTGGACCACAAGCGATTTTCAACTAGACTGCGAAGGGGTTAAAATAGTAATTTTTGATTAAATACGATAAAATAATTTTTAATTGTACAAAAAATACCTATTACTTACAAAAAAACTTTAGTTTTCATAACATTTCCTCGAAATTTTTAAATCAACAATACAATTTCGAAAATATAGAAACTACAGTTATTGACATCATAACCTCTAAAATTCTACAATTTCTACCGACGATAAGCATATATCGACTGTTATTAAAGCCGTCTTGTATAATTTCAACTGCTGTTAAAATACCACTGTAGATAACATTGATTTCTTTCTATTAAAATTTTTAATCGTTTTAATTAAACACTTATTAGTACAAGAAGATTTAACAAAACATTTTTTCTTATCAATAATGTCAACAATCAATCCTTGTCAACAATGTGAAAATTCCGAAAATTCTTACAAATCGATTATCGATTATTATTGCAAAATGGCGGGATAATTTAAACATAGTCCCAATTTTCAAAATATTATTAACAACAAATTATTATTTACAGTAATTTCTAAAGTTAATAATTCCATAAATTAAAGTTAATATTTTTTTATTTTACATACTTATTGTACACATCTAATTTTGGAATTTTTCGTTAAAATAGAGATTTAAACGATTTAAATAATCGCGCCGTAAATAACAATTTTCTATTACTACGGTAAAAAATTGTAAAAAAAATGTTTTATTAAAAGAAGAGTATTTTCTCAAGAAAAAAGAAAATACAGTTAAAATTCTTTGTCGTGAGTGGAAATTTTATCTTTGTATATTAAAAATCATAAGTTTTCTGTAATAAAAATGCAATTTGTTTCGAATTAGAGGTGAAGCATGGGGCGTGCCCGATATAAACAGTACTGATGATGTCATAATTTAACTTGTATTGTTGCGCCATAAGTGGTATTTGTAATCTTGAAAATATGAGTTATATTAAAAATATTGTTTATTTCAATTGTTTTTTACCGAATTGATAAAAATATTACTCCGGTGGTATAAATTAAAGAAAAAATTTTTAATTTCAAAATTACAATTTTTGAGAAGTTTCAAAAAAAAATTTTTTTTGTTTTAAATATTTTTACCTATATGTGATTTTTTATATTTTGAAATATTTTTTTTGAAAATATTTTTAAGTATCAAGTTTGAAGAGATAGATAAAATATGAGTAATATTTAATTCTGGTAATTAGCCCAGGGGGGATGGTAGTTAATGATACGGGCATGCTGACGTGTATAGGTTACACATAAATTTTCCGATCTTTACATATTTAAACAATTAAATTGAGATTATTTAACTAGCAGAATTATTTATAAAGATAATTAGAGTTTGATTTATGAAAAATCGGGTTTGATTCTATAGAAAATATATTGAGAAAAGATGACAAATTCCAAGGCGTAAGGAACTAGTTTGGCTTGCGGAGGCAGACGCTCTTGTCAGTTGCGCGCCGGTCGAGTGTGTGGTGAGACCTTAGTGAGCTTGCTAGTTTCAATTGGATTTTGTGAAAGTTTTATGCCAGTTTTGGTGTGAAGGAGTGTTTTGAAATATTCTTCGTAAAGGGTAAGTGTCATATAGCAAAAAGTTTTATCATAAAATTCAAAATTGGCATAAATTTACAGCAAACACGGTGCAATGGGTGTATTGTAGAGAGATAAAAATGGCGTTCGCCGATCCGACTCGTGTGTTTAATTCAACATTCTGTTATTTGTGTGCATTTATACGGTCTCTTATTATTTTTGTTAAACAACACATCTTAATTTAAACAAATAAATTAAATTCTGAATTAAAAGGGGTAAAAAATTCGAGATAGGAGACTATATTTTAGTGAACTCGTCCTGTCTAAAGGTAAAGATTCTTCCGAAGCAAATCACTTGTTATTTCAAGTTTTTTTTTCTACGAAATACAAAAAGTTATTTTTCATTTAAGATACAATGACACGTATTGTTTGGAAAGTAGCATAAATATCGATTTTTTTGCCTTTTCGAAAAGTTTTCTCTGTCAAGTGTAGTGGCTTTTCCGTGAGTCTCGTCCCTTTGCGATGAGGGCAGCATTAACCTGTCAAAGAATCCAGGGAACCTGCCTGTGACCTAATTTTACTCTTTCTTTTTTGGAATAGAGAAATTAATATTCAATAACATATTATTAATTTTTAAGATACTAATAGAGAATTAAAATTTAATTTCAGAATTATTCATAATTGAATAGTCAATCGAGAATGTATTTTTATTTTACATACATAATTTAAGTTGGAATTTTTAGTGATCTTAATAGTTATTTTTGTCAATGATTTGATCTATTACTTATTAGTCAACGCCGTTTGAATTGGTTTTTAGTTCGAGAAGATATGATAAAGCTTTATAGTGGTCTTATGAATGAAACGATTTATAAGTGGTTGTAATTAAGGGAATTTATTTGACGATCTCTTAAAAATTTATTACAAAAATAAAATTTACTTTGGAAATAAATTCTCGAGTATTCGAAACGTACGTTATTCAAATCGATAATTCGAAAGTGTTATTTCGAAATTCGATTGTAAAAGCAATAAATAGAAAAATGAAATCATCATAAGTAATTTGCAAAACGGGTTTTTAGGGGGGAAAAAGCGATTCGATTCCTTACAATATTGTCATTTAGGGGATTTCTTGTCGTCAATAATAATTTTTAACGTTTTGAATTACCATTTAGAATATAAGGTTTCCCTCGATGAATGTGGTTTGAGATGGCGTGTATAATAAATAACGGTTTTAAAATGACAGATTTTTCCTTCATTGTAAATTGTAACCCGATGCATCTCTCAAATATGAGTAAAGTCATCAAGGTTGTAACGTGGACAGTATAGTATAGTAATACTTGAATTCTATTGAGTGTTGTGTATAGTTTTTTGTGTTGAGACTAGGGAATTCTTTCAAGTGTTATGTTTACTGTTACGTCATTGTTGCACTATGCTTTTGTGATCGTAAGGTGCGGATACGCATTCTAAATGAATGAATAAGTTTTAATTCACTTCTCTCGCTTCCCCCCTTCCTTCCGGAAATTTTTAATTCTTTTCGAATGTAAATCATTTCAGTATCCGGAAATTTTGTTTTCATTTGAATATTTTTTATTTTTATTTTTAATTCAGGTTTGTGCGCTTGGAAGAGAAACAATGAATATTTTCGTTTTTAGTCTACTCGCTCTAATGAAAGAGGAAGTAATGAACAGCGCTTGTTAATAGTGTTTGCTCTTGACTTGCTTTTTTTATGTGCCTAATTTAGTCATTGAATGTCAGCGATGTAATGAGGCTCTTTTTCTTTGTATGAAGATTCTAACAGTTTCAATCATCAACGTTTGAAATTCTATTTTTAAATTAAATTTGAAATGGTATTTCAATAGTCAAAATTAAATTGCAAAATAAAAATAAATAAAAAATTTACAAAGTAAATAAAATTATAAAGTGGAATTGAATTTTGATGACGAATGGCACTAATTTTACTTTTTTCATTTACTTCAAATTTTGAAACTTTCAAACTAATCTTTGAAAAAAATTTTTTTGACGTAAAAATGAAATATTTTTTTATTATAGGCAGATATTTTTTCTTTTAATACAGGGAGATAAGTGAAGTCATTAGGCTCGTGAAGAGAAGCACCAATAACTTGTAATCATGACGAAATGATCGGATGTCCTAACTTACAGTTACTTACAATGTTTTCATTGATATTAAAATCGTGTAGGAAGTGGGAGATTCGGAGTAAAAATAACTCCACCTTAAAGAAATTATTCAGATACAAATTTTCTCTTGAATAATCAATCCTTTCAAGTTCAGAAAAGAATTTATAATTGAAAAATTAAAGAACAAAAATTTGATTCTTCTGATTTATAAGAAAAAAAAATTACTGTTTTAACTTTTATATTTAAAAATCAATATTCTCGTGTGACTTTAACTTTATTTAATAGAAGGTAAACAATGAAACTGAGCACCTTTCTATTTTATTAAATATTGTACAGATACATGAGGTATTTTATTACCATCTTTTATTATTGGAATTTTTTTAAAACAATAATTTTCTCTCAAAGAAAAATTATATTTTTTTAAACACTTTTTAAAAAGTCTCAATTATTTGGTCTTTTATTTTTCCAAGAATAATCATTATAAAAATTCTATTTTCACTTGAATCGAGTTTTATAATTTGTCTACTGACCATGACCAAAGGCCGTTATTTCTCCTAATTTTTTTTCGTCGAGTAAAGTATGCCAACCGTGTCAACAGTATTAAAATTCAATTGCAAGTGACAAAAAAATTGAATTTTTATTTGTGGGGAATAAAAAGAGTTTTAAATACCAACATAAGAGGAGAAATTTTACATATTTTACACATATGGGTAGAATTTATTTATACGACTGTTGGCTTTTCGTAAGTAATATGTTTTTGTAGATGTAAGTTTTTTTTATGCACTGTGGGAATGGATATTTAGTGAATTTCCTGAAATAGTTGAGGAAGAGAGAAGTCGTGATCTTTATATTTAGATCGTCCACTCGGCAGTTTGGTATGCCATGTGCTTTAGTACAGGAACTGTCAGAGGCACTCATGCGCTTTTACTCTCTCGGAGAGACAGAATAATAAGCTAATAACGGGGTGCAACCTAATTTTCTGTTTCACTATATTTTCCCCGTCTATAATACTTCTTTTATATTTGCCCTACATTTTTAATTTCCACTTTGCCACTTTAGAATATTAAATAATTAGTTTTCACCTCGGTTTTCACGATGAGGGAGAAAGTAGAATATTTATTATATTTACAAATTTCCCTGGAATTTTTTAATAAAACAGACATGAATTTTTCAGCCTTCGTAAGGTTCACAATCATCAACATTTTACAAAAAAAGTTACTAAATTTTTTGTTTAATTTTTCTGCTAGAAATTCACTTTCTAGATATATTTTTTAAGAATGTCTTCAAGCAAATGTTTATAAAAATTTTCATAAAAAAATACTTCTTTTATAAATTTTTGATCAGGGTCGTTGTGAACTTAGAAGAAATTTTTAATAAAAAAATTCTTTTATCTATCAGGTTGGTTTATCCTAAAGAATTCTTCTGCTTGTGTCTTCTATCGGGAAATAAATTCCTTTGTTCTTTCAAATAAATATGTGACGCATCGCAAAGAAAGTCGACATCTTATAGGTTATGTTTTTAAAATGCACACAGAGAATTTTAGTTCAATTTTAATATAACTTTACTAAATTTAATTTTATTTTTTTCATTGTTTAGTATTTTTTATGTCAAAATTTCGGTTTGTTGTACTTTTTCCCTAAATTGTAAAATACTTTCACAAAATTTAATATGTATTTTCTCTCCGTGTGTAAAGTATGGGTTAGCTCTGAATTCAAACTATAATTATTTTTAAGCCTTTATTATGTTTGAAATATGCAATAAAAATTACTTTCCATTTTACAAAATTAAAAAAGAATTTAAAAGTACTCGACTGTATTCTTGAATCTTAGGCGTTCGTCTTTACTTCTTTCACTCTCGCGGATTATAAACGATCGTACGTTACGTGATGTTATCGTAAATTGTGAATTTCACTGGAAAATTCACGTTGCTATATATGTAATTAAGTCCAATGGTCAAATGTGTAGATAAAATAAAAGAAACCTTTTTTGTTTTGTCATTACAGCAAAAAAGAATATGTGTATTTTTAAATAACTTTTAAATATATACATAGATTGTAGTAAAATTCGAATCTATTTAAATTTTAATTCCTTGAATTTAGCGTCGATGCCGAACGTCAAAAAATGTTTTTTTTTGAGAAACTGAAAAGACTAAAAAAAAAAAAAAAAAAAAAAAAAAAAAAAAGAAAAGACTAAAATTTGATATTGAAAAAGGGCTCTAAACTTATTTTTAACTTCCGAAGTGAATAAAAGCAGTGAAGATAGTGACATTTGCATCTCTAAAAACCCCGAATAACAGTTATCGACGCCAACTTGAGGGACTTCAAATTTTGATATGTCAGAATTTTAAAAGATTTTAACAGATTTGTGTGTTTTTGAAACACTTGTTTTAGTATTTTTCTAAAACTAGTTTCTTCTATAAAAAAGAGGAAGTTCGATTTCGTTCATTTTTTCGAAATGTTTAGGATTTTATTGATATTTTAGCGAATTTCCTTCTGGGAAATGAGAGAGAATTTATTGTTAAACGTTAAACAATCGTTGGCCATGTAAATGACTGCGGCCATAAACTGAGACTAAGCGTAGATTAACGTAAATGCGGACGTGACGTAGTATAAAAGTTGTACAGTGGAACATCGGCCCTCAGTCAAAGTATAACGTATATAATATACATCGGAGCCAAGTTTTTTTAACGGCTGATTGGTTCATTGGTTCTTTAAGATCGATTTTTATTGCGACCGTTAACCTATTTTTTTCTTATAAGCATCATAAGAGTAATTCAATGGGAGTAATCAGTGTGTATAGCGATTGGTTTATAATATATCAGTAAAATATGTAACAATCCGCATATAATAAGTAATAATTTTCTTTAAAGAGCTATCTTTTTTTTATTTTACACTATGTTTAAGATACGATAT